TGCAAATATTGATCAGGTAGGAGCAACAGCTGATCCTTACCTCTGTAGGAGTGCTCAGTCAAGGAATTCAAAGGTGAAAAACTATATTACCAAAGTTCGTGTCCATCTAATTCTGCAGGAAGTACTTTTTAATATTACATGTATTCAGTCTAGAAAATTTAGAATTCCAGGGTATCACTGAGGCAAATAATTTTGATGAGCTAATTAAGGCGTATGTAGTTTTGTATGTGTCAAAAATTTTTATTGTGATCAAATGTTTGAAAGAAAATGTGGGGGAGGGGGGTTGGTTTGTCCTCTCATAGATGCAGAACACCTAATGCTGTGAAGAGGTTTGGGAGAAACTAACTGCCAAATGTAAAAAAAAAAAAAAAAGAAGAAAGAAAGAATGAAGGAAAGAAAGAAAGATAGACTTGCTGGTTTTCTCCTGTCCTAAGTTTCCCATGTCTCTTTTTTATAATACAACAAGACACTCCAGACACCACATTTCTGGGGATTACCTTTGTTGGGGTTGAAGCCTTTGGCCTCATTCTTTTCCTCACTGTTAGAGTGCTCATAAGCCCCTGGAAAGACACTGTCTGTCATGTCTTGTTGCTTAAATATTGTGATCGAGCCTGTGAATAATCTCAGACTGCTCTGACATGTTCATAATAGCTTTTGTTCTACTCCTGCACCCATACATTTCCATTCCTTGAGGTCCCTCAGCATGGTCTGTTCCAGTATTTACACAGAATGTGGCAGTTGGACCAAAAGTGATACAGGGATATCAAACCAACACCTTTTATTTTTGTGGATGGTAATAATTTAGAAAGTGAAAGTGGCCCCTCTGTGGCAAATGATAATCTCCAGTCTTTTCTGGGCCCTTTTTCTCCCTAGCTTGAGGATTCTTTCACCCGCTGGTGAAAGTTGCAGTGAAGCAGCAGTTCCCCACTGAGTGACATTGCCATCTATGGCTTTTTCGGTTGTTCTTTGTGCAGCGTTGGCTGCGCTCACACCAGATGCCAATCATACACCACCAGTGGATTTGCAAGATTATAGGACAGGAAAAAAGATGAAGGTTAAGCACAGGGCACAATAGAGATTACTTATGGTAATGAATTGTATAATTTTTCTAGACAGATCTGGATTAATGTTTATCCCAGGCAAGAGATTACTGTATGTCTGATTCTAGTTGTAAACAGACATTATTAAACAGAAGGTTCATGTTCATGAAATGCGACTATGGGTGTTAAAGCACTTATGATTTATTATGTGCAAAGAGAAAAATTAACCTGTTCATCTGCTGTAGTACTAGATGCTCTGTGGAGTTTTGCATAATTTGGAAGGCATCTGCTCCTTTGAAATACAAATAATGAGTGAAAGATTCTTCTCTCGTTTACACTGATCCAATGCCCTGCACTGCACAGGAGTTACAGTGATGTAACCAGCAAAAGAATAGACCTGAATACTTCTATAAGCAATAGCATTTCTACTAGAGATAAATGTTGGCAAGGTCTGTTTTCTTGTGAATCTTTATATTTTTTCTTGAAGAATTATAGAAAAAAATACGTTAATAGTCGGAGAGCTTCAGAAATAATGACCTTATTTGGATTTCCCAAATAATTCACTTTTGCTAGTGGAAAATAATATTTAGAGAACTTTGGCATAAAAAACAAATATTTTCATTCATTTTTCACATAATTAATGTTGCAGCCCATTTTTCTTCTTTTTTATTTAAGCACTGCAGAATAGGCACAACATTCACATTGCTTGTGCTGCTTCAGCTTCTTAACTAAATAATCATACCTGAATTAGTGAGTTAATTTTTTTAAGTGAACTCAAATGTATCTCTTAAGGAAACTGTAAACAAACTCCAAAACTTCACTTCTTTGATTGAGTAGAATTGCAACTTTATTATTTGCTAACAAGGAAATATCTTTTCAAATAAAAGCAGAGATAAATTGCAGATATCTGTCTGTTCAGTTTATGTACACACCATATTTGTAGCCGGATTATTTCTTGCAGAATGCCATTTGGAGTCATCCATTTAGCAATGGTGGATGATACAGCTGTGCTGGTTTCCCTCCACTTGTTAGGTGATTTTCCTACTTCTAGATTTTACAGTGAGTGTGTTGCTGATGCTTTATTTGTAAAATTCAGTCATATGTGAGAAATCTGACCATTAAGTTTTACAGGCTTCAAATGGACTTCTCATGAAAGAATAAATATACATACAAATATTTTGTATGTGTGCAAAAATAAGCCAATATGCAGGGAAAAAAAACCAAAAAAAACCTAAATGGAACATGGAATAAATATTATGAGATACTAAGTGTGTAAGGCGAATTAAGATATAAGTGGTTAAACTAGATGTGAGTCCGTCATGCATAGGACTGTCAGGTCGTAAGTTCTCAGTACTTGAATTTAAAAAGCTGCAATCTAAAATTGCCATCAAAACACTTCATGTTTCTTTTTTTTTTCTTTTTTAATTCATATATATATTACGTTTGATACAAAAAAAAATAGGCCATGAGAAAGTGGTAACTTTTTTTTAACATTTTTCAACATTTGTTGGTCTAACTACCACATTTCATAAAGGCTGTGAAGCGTGAGCTCTAAGTTAAAGTATGTGAGCAAATTTAATTGATGGGGAGAAGTTTGCGTAGACTTTGCTGGTGATCCAGACCAATTGCTGTGAAAGCAGTGCAGCACCCTAAAGCCTGTACAGAGTTTTGAGCACAGGTTTCAGGCAGCTCAGGTAAGGTGAGCAGCACTGCCTAAATGTGTGTGCAGTGAAGCATGTCTAGGGGAGCAGGAAAACCTGCACCGTGCTGTGTCTTGGCGCACTATAAGTCATTAAGATGACCTCCGTCTCCCAGAGAGCAGCGAAGATGGGAATGAAGACACATTTCTGTGAGCAGCCTGCTGTGGGTCGTAAGTTAAAGAGGTGCTGCATTTCCCTGTGAAGCACACGGCGCCCAGCCGCGGTGTTTAACGGCGCTAAGCTCATCGCTGCTGAGCTGAACGCGGCTGAAGCGAACGATGACCCTCACGTCTTGGCGATGGCAAAATGTCTCCCTGATGTGATCCCGCGGACTTGGGAGCATTAAGATAATTTCCCCCTGGATCTCTGAGCTGCGTCCTCTTTACCCGGCGGAAAGCTGGTGAAGAATACAGCTTTTGACCGACTGACAGAACGTGGAGCGGGAAATGAGATGCGTTAAATTAGAATATGACAAAAAGCCTATCTAAATATCTGTCACAGGGCTACGAACGGGGTGTCACCCAGGAAAGGAAAGCAGACCGCAGGTGGGACTGCATAGTCAGGGGGAAAAATTGGTAAATCATCCAGATTTGTTACAGGCTTTGAGGGGATAATTAAGGATATCGAGTGGGCTGCTACACTTCCAGGGCTGGTGATCCCTCTCATGTAATCTCAGATTAGTTCTTGTCTTGTCTACACTGAGCGCAGAATTAAGCAATACAAAGTTTGCTGCCCCAGTGCAGTAAATCATGGAGTTATGTGCCTGTGAGAGGATGCATAGCATGTTGGCTTATGCAAGACACGAAAGAGAAAGGGTGCACCTTTCCTACAATAAAGAAACCATCACAAAACAAACAACAAAGCCCCAACCCTCAGAACTCCAAGAAACAAATAAATGAAAAAAAAAAAACCAGCAGTGCAAATGTGCGGGATGTAAATTTTTCTGGTTGCTACAAGAATGTTTGCAAAATGATTTTCTGGAAAACCAACATCTGTAATTAGTAGCCAGTGAAACAGAAGGAGCTCAAGGCGTGCAGTGTGGTTTGGCTGCATCTGTTCATTTTTAACTGAATTTGTAACAACTTTTTGCAGTACGAGTGCAAATCACGGGCTTGTAATTTACTCCTTGGAAAGTTTTAATGAGAAAAATAGAAAATGTAAGTTCAACATATCAGTTTATGTTTTGTTTTATTTCTGTATGAGCAGTTCGCGGGAGAATGTGACTATGATAGGGTTAATCCAGCTACACAAAAATCCATGCTGTGTATGATAGTAGTAAAGCTTGTGATCCCTTGATCTTTGATTAGATCCGAGCTAGTAAATATCTTGTTTAATCAGAATGAGTTGTTCTGCATGTAGTATAAGTCACCTTCACAGATGGGATGTAGCAACAGAGTTGTTCGTGAATATTTGTTTAAATCCTTTCCAGAGCAAGCATGCTTTATGTTTCTTTGTTGTAAATCAGATTGAAGCAAGTAAAAACCGGCACGGAGGAAAGGCATCTACTTGCAGTTAGGATTAGGACAGCGTTAACCTCTTTTCCTTTGCAAGGGAAAATGTAACTTAAAAGAGTCTTGAAAGGTATTTTAAGCTGTTCTGCAAACATAACCAACACAGCGTGACTGCTTGTTCAGGCTGGGTCACAAATACAGTTATCTAGAATTTCATCTTAAAATGTTCTGCAGGTTTCTAGCTTAGCAGACTATAAATATGCAGAGACTGTGATTTATTACGGTGAATGTTCAGCCTCTATTATTATTCTATATATTAAAGATACATAGTTAGAACGGTAGCTGTTTTGTATGCTGGTAAACAGGAATTCTTAAAACCTTATCTGTAAAGCTATTTGTTTTGTGTGTTACGTCAGCGTCCTATTTACCTAAATCTGTCATAAATGCCTTCTGATACGCCTCTCTTTGACATGCAAAATATTGAAAATGAGAGGACTCCTCTCGCTGAGATTTTCGTCAATATGTAATTTTTCTGTGTTCATAACTTTGTGGTAATAACTGGAAAACCTGTAGTTAAACGTGTCTCAATTTCTCCCTCTTATTTTTCATAATCACCGCACAGAGCCTTTTGTGCTCAGAGGTGTGATTAGACTTAACCTGCCGTCGTATCTGAAGAACTTTCTGTACAAAATATTATACATTGAGTAGATGTTAGGTCTGACTGTGATACATAAATAGATATAAAGATGAGTTGCCCTGTCGCCAAAGCTCACTCCTGATAATTTTTTTTTTTTTATGTTTTTCAACAGGAAGACTGGAGAGCCCCCACTAATAAATGGCTGGATTCCTTACCTGGGGAAGGCTCTGCTTTTTAGAAAAGATGCTTTCAAATTCTTACTGGATCAGCAAAAGAAACTTGGAGATATTTTCACTGTACATATTGCTGGTGAGAAATGTTTTAGTAATTCTCTTGGATTTTCCATCAGTGATATTAAACAGCAATTCAGATGCTTAGTTTAGAATCTTACGTAACTAAAAACATTATTCTGTAGCACAGGACACAATATGTTAAATTCAAATGTATTATAATGTCATAAGTATCCACAGGATTTAATTTTGAGTATGTGTATTTGTATGTAGCTGTAGGTATACATGCATATCAACAGAATTTGTAGTGTAATGTAGGAACACATCTAAATGTGTATTGCTTTTTTCCTAAGGAAGGCAGAACTAACATCATCTTGACACTGCACAGAAAAAATATCAGATTAAATTTAGAAAACACTTTAGAAAAAAAGTGCAGGATATGTTCTCACACATTCTACAACTGGTTGACAGGAACACAAGGGAATGAATGACACATTGACTCAGTGATACAATCAGGACTAGAACACAGAAACTTCCCATTGCCAGTCTCTTACTCTGATCGTGCTTGCGGAAAATAACAATATAATAAAGTATGATACAACCTTGCTGCTTTCTGTATTTATAGCTGTTTTACTACACTAGCTTGAATACAAACGTTTGAGTGATTTCACGTAGATGCTTAAAAGCATAAGGAAAGCACAGAAGGAAACTGGATTTTTGAATGAAAACTAAATATATAAATTTAGTTATATACCTGTGTGTATACACATACACACTTTTTACTAAAATCAACTTAAAATCAACTTGTTTCCTTTGTTCAGGAAAAGATAAACTCTTACCTGACAGGGTCAGTAGAATGGAGCTTTTGCCCCTCCTGAAAGCTGAGATCCTTGTTCAAATTATCAGTTTTATAGTTGCATCAATTATTATTTCAGAGTCCTCTACCCCACTTTTAGCTATCCTTGCATTTTTAAAGAGTTTCAAAGAAAAATGAAAGTACAAAGTTTGCTTTGTAATTTTTTTGACGGTGACATTATTTTTAGTTTTCCATTTAATTATTTTGCAATACAATTTTTTTCCTTCAAAAATCAAGTAATTTGCATGCAGTATGTTTAATTAATAAATTTTTACTCCCTCTTATTTTGTTCTTTGTCTTTTAGAAGGGCATTCTTACTGCTGTTAATCGTGCTTTCTTATTCATTTGTGTTGTTTTTTTTCCTTTGGAAACTGGTATGTTTAGATATTTCTGTATCTTGAAAATGAGTTCATCTAAAAGACTAACTTTTTTGTGAAATATTCTCTTTTTTATTGTTGATATACATTCATACTACACACAGTAATGGCTTCTTATGAGTCAAAATTAATAATTATTGAAAGACTCAGTGCATTCAGAAAAGGAAATGCAGTCACGCTTGAGAATCCGTAATGTGTTTAATTAATTTTTTTTTTATTTTTATTGTTTTGTTTAAGACTGTATTTAGAGATTTGTGTCTTTCAGCAATTTGTGAACATAATGTAGTTTAACTAATTTCTGTTGGCACAATAAACGGAATTCCTTTTCTACTAATCTCCCTCTGTTTAAGTATTCTGAGGAAACCTTCGTTGATGCAGGTTAAAGCAAACAGAGTGAGTTATGGATGTCATTTCAACCCTACGCAGAGAAGTCTTTGATTCTGTGAATTGGTTGTATCAGAGATGCTATCTTGACTTCTCTCTTTTCCAGTCTAAAAATACTGACCATCAGGACTTCACTAAGCAGAAACAGCCTGTCAGCCACAACTCAGAAGGGAAGACGAAGCTAGTTAGTAGCTCGTATCCTGTCTTGATGTTGAGATGTACAGGCTTTCTGTGCATCTCTTTGATTTGACTAAGATGATGTTTGTATGCTCAGCAAACATAACGCAGCCGGCTGTGTATGTACTATCATTGTTTTCCCCCCCTGGTGAGGGACTACAGGTCCTGTCAACAAATCCTATCAATATGTATTGTTCTAATTATTGGCTCTCAAAGTAGTTCATTTGGAAAATGTGGAACGATGCTTGGAGTTTCTGGCATTGCCCCGTACCGGTAATGCGATTTCGCTGATTGTACTTTCCCATGTGATGAGCAAATGATTGTCATACCTAAAAGTCGCAAGGGACATGGATGTCATCTTAATAAAGAAATTAAAAAGCACATCTTTCTATGAGAAACAATGTAAATTCCTGACCTGTCGCAGAAAATAGTTCTCTAATTGGTTTTGTGTGGTGGTGCAGCAGAATCGTTTTCCCCAAACGTCATACCGGCGAAGCACTACTGTACATCATTGTCAGCAGTTCAGCAGAATCTTCCTAATAAGAAGACGATTACGTAAAAGCGATAGTCTTCAGAAAAGAGAAAGAGAGGAAGAGAAAAGAAAAGAAAAGAAGAAGGAAGGGATGAGAGAGAAAGCTCCCGAGTCTGTTGTTTTTAGATGGTAGTACTTCCTGGCTCAGCCTTTCTGCTTGCTAAGGATCAGCAGCGTAGGCAGGCAGCTAGGTAAGAACTTAACGATCTTGAAGCAGTTTTGTCACAGTTTCCCGCTCTAAACTTTGTCTCCTTTTCCTGGTACGTTATTAGAAATGACAGTGGGCATTGCAACGCCATCTATGAGATTGTCTGACTCAAATCTTAATAAAGTAATCTGTCTTCCGGTGCTTTTGCTGAGCACACATGGCCTTTTTTAATTCTGCTAATAAGTCATTCTTATCTTTTAAATCATGACACGCCTACAGTAACGTACCACATTTTTCTGTCTTAGGCAAAAGGTAATTTTCATGAGCTTACAAAGCTGAAGTCTGCTGCAAGCATTACTGAAATAACATCCATCATTATATGGCATATGAAACGCTTGTCTTTCATCATTAGCATTAAAAAGCTCCGGAATGCATTATTAGAGTAATTTCTTAACTATCATACAAATACTGGCTTCTGTGCTCAGATTTACCAAAGTTGACAATTTTCATATTTTTCACATCAATCTTCTATTTCTAGGAGAGTTTATAAACTAAATGGAGATAACCAGGCTATTTGCAGCACGGTTGTAATGCAAACTGAAGGATTGGACAAGGAGTATAAATTTTCTGTATCCATATTAAAATAACTCAGAGGGCTTTTTACAGAAACAAGTATACATCTATTACTTTGACTTGTTTCTATTGTACTAAATAAAATAGCTCTGTGACTTAAACTATTGGGATTTTCAGTGTGACATTTCTGTATGGACAAGTCTACTTGCTCTTTTATGCCAAAGGAATTTTTTATATTCTAACAATGACAGGCTTTGTCCCTAGTGGTTTCTTTATAAACATGTTCAATATTTAAAGCTTCCTAATTTGGAAAGCATGTGGCGTGCCTCCACTTTTGGCTGATCTGTCATTTACCTTTACGAGTACTCTGATGGAAAATCATGAGCATCAGTATTTTGGTACTGTTTTAGAAAAGACCACTGCAAGAGGTAGTTCTTGGCATTAGCTGCAGTGGAATGGTATTGGAGGGGAGGGGCAGCTGCATTTTAAAATACTGCAGAGTAACGAGAATCTTGAGGAAGAACTTTGCATTTGTTGGTATTTTACACAAGCAGGGATGTTAAGTGGGAAGAAACCTCAACTGCAGAAACAAAATTATCTGAAAAGCAAAATTCATGGCAGTATTGATGATACCTCAAAATGGTATATTGAGGTCAGAAAGTTTGGTTGTTTGCTGTTAAGTTCTCAAAGTCTGCTTAGGGCATGGGAGGTGTTGGGGCATGAGTTTGTAATTGTCATCAGTATCTTATTGGGTGGAAGGCACTGGGGCAAACCTGTGGTGCTGCATCTGTGTGCAGGGCATGATATTAATGTCTGTAAGCACTCGTACTCTTGCAACAATAACTTTCTAACTGCAGTTAATTAGTCCGACATTTTAGTCTTTTTCTAACAAAGAGATCTAAAATTGGGAAATGGTTTTAAGTTGAGGGAGGAGAGATTTAGGTTGGATGTCAGGGGAAAGTTCTTTACAGAGAGAGTGGTGAGGTGCTGGAACAGGCTGCCAGAGAGGTTGTGGATGCCCCGTCCCTGGAGGTGTTCAAGGCCAGGTTGGATGGGGCCCTGGGCAGCCTGGTCTGGTATTGAATGTGGAGTTTGGTGGCCCTGCATGTGGCAGGAGAGTTGGAGATTCATGATCCTTGAGGTCCCTTCCAATCCTGGCCATTCTGTGATTCTGTGGATCCTCTGTGAGGTACATACACAAGCTGCCTTTGTTATAGAGGGGTTCCACTATTCTGACTATAGAGACATTGCATAAATACAGTAACAAAGTATTTTGTTTTGTGTGTTTACATATATCACCAGCTTGCAATGCTATGGTCTGGAACCCAAGCTGATTCTACAAAATGAATTATATTTTGGTACATACTTACTTTTTGCTACCAGGAACCTGATGAGAATAATAAAAATAAGGATCTGTACTATTCAGTTTGTCAGAGTTTTTCTTTTCCAAAGTATGTGCTAGTGTTGAGGGAATTTTGATTTAAAATTATTGCTGAAATAGTTTGTTTGTCTGAAAACCCATTTGCAGAAAATTATTTTCTTGCTTAAAAATGATAAGAATTGATGTGTGTTTGCTAAGAGTCTGATTAAAGATCACAAAGAAACTCATATTTTGCATCAGAAATAAGCAGATGGTGGACAGATGGTTTAAATTAATATTAATTAAAAATCTTAACTTAAATTGTTTACCCTGTAAACGCAAAGTTAGGAAGCCAGCTTTCATCTTTAGGGTTAATAACACTCCAAGTCTATTTATTAAAAATCACTCCAATGGGCATTCTTTCCAAGCTTTGATCACAAAGATGGTGGCCTCAGTGAAGAGTGTGCAATTGTGAGAAAGCTGGGGTGAGAGGAGTGCAGGGAGAGCAGTGCTGGGACTCTTCACAAAGGCTTGGGAATATCCTGCAAGAGTTAAAAAAAATTAAGGGGCTAAAAATTTATAAGAGCCTTGGAAAGGAAGAAATGGTCAGGAAAATGACTGGGAATTGAGGATCTCTTTATCAGGCTGATTTCTTGCTCTTCAAAATTGATTTATATCTGTAGTTTGTTACATTACAGTAAAGCAAACTACATGAGTACTTCAAAAACCTTCACACATTGTTGAGAAGAAGGGGGTCAAATTCTGTTTTGATTTTTTCCTCATGTTCCCTTAGTTTCACTGGGATTGCAGGGAGTGTAAATGGCATGAAAATTTCACCAGCTGGTTATTATTGCAAAGAAAGTCCAGAGTGCACCCATCTTTGCCACAGAGCAGGATGTGTATGTGCAAGTCAGGATATGGAATAACTATGATCATTCAAATATCACTACATGGTAACCATGGATACTTGTTGACATTTTTAGTGGTAGTGACTACTTTATCTCAGGACATCTGTCACAGAGCCAAATTTGGCCCTCAGTTAAGCATGTAGCATTCCCATTAAAATCAAAGGAGATTTGTCCCTCTAGTAAGACAGAATTAGACTGTAAGTATGATAAGCTTTGATGTTTTCTGGGTTTATAGCTAGGATATTTCACAGAGAATGTGTACATTTTAATGCGTACCTTTTTTCCCTAATGCACCTGTCCCTGCAAGTTAAGAATCTAGAGCTCTAAATTTAGACTTAACATGGGAATCACCCATAAAGAGTTAAGGCTTAGTTGAGCTTTGGGAGTATTAGCATTTTGATTCATGATAGTTCACCAAAATGTTCTTCATTAGTTTACTTTAAACTTGGGGGAAAATTTAGATTTTTTTTCTGGTATAGGCAATTTCAAAAGTCATCGTACCATGGCAGTGCTGTACCTTACTATCCAAAGCTGGAGAATCTGCTGTAGAGCTCCTGAAGTGCATCAAGAAGGCCATAAAGTTTTCCATGCACTCTGACACAATGAATGACCGTGCCAGGTCAGTGCATACCCCATAATGGCAAGCACTGTAAGAATAAGATCCTCTTTTGTAAGCCAGGGCTTCAAAGTCAGATTCCATTGTGGTCATTTTACTGATACTAAGCAACTTCTTAGCAAAAAAAAATTGAGACACCATGAAAGGAAAATACAGATGTAGCTTTAAATGTTGGGGCTTTACAACATGCAATTAAAACTATTGCCAGCAGATTTTCAGTCTAGATGTCATCTCCTTGAAGAAAATCTGCCTAGGTAACAAGTTTTCCACTTCAGCCTCCCTCATACACTTTCCTCTATGCAGATGAAATATGAAATCTCTTAGTGCTATTAAAAAAAAAAAAAAAATTACAATGCTGCTATGATCCCACATTACATTTCATAAATGTAATATCTGGGGTAGTCATACTGGGGTAGTAACTGATTTATTCCAAAGTGCCATAATTGCAGGTCACACCCTATTGTTTCCAAAACCAGTAGATGAGTCCACAATTGAAATGTGTTTTCGTGCTGATTTTAGAAGTGCTGTGAAAGTACATGCAGGTGAAATCCTTACAAGGAGAGTAAGTATTGTGTTTTCTTCCAAAACTAAATACAATATGTTGTATCTTCCTTTTGGTTTTTTTTTTCTTTTTTTTTTTTTTTCTTTTTTTTTTTTCTTTGCAAATCTCCTCACAGATCTTTTCTTTGGCAATTTTCTTGATGTTCTTCCAGATGTTGATGGTACTTATTTTCAGTTATTACCTTTAAAAGCATCAGAGTACAAAGCCACGTGTCTGTTTTTTCTTTTCTTCTATTCAGGCAGATATATTACCTTTATCATGGACCCGTTTCAATATGTTTACGTCATCCGAAATAGCAAACAACTTGAGTTCCACGAATTTGCTGATAAGATGGCTTCCAAAACTTTTGACTACCCAGCTTTGTCAAGTGTAAAATTCCCCGATCTCAAGGAAAACCTGCACAGAATCTACCAGTACCTGCAAGGCAAGCCTTTGGAAATAATTTCTGACCACATGATGAAAAACCTTCAGGATATATTTGAATGGAAATGCTCACAAGCAACAGATTGGGAAACAGAAAAAATGTACAAATTCTGCTGCTCTGTAATGTTTGAAGCCAGTTTTGTAACACTATATGGAAGAGTTCCTGCTGCAGATGGCCGCAAAGTTATTAGTGAAATCAGAGACAAATTTATCAAGTTTGATGCCAGCTTTCCCTATTTAGCTGCAAACATACCAATTGAGTTGCTAGGAGCTACCAAGAAGGTTCGGAAGGAGCTTATACATCATTTTTTACTTCAGAACATGACAAAATGGCTGGGAGGGTCAAAAGTGGTCCAAGCCAGACAAGATATATTTGAGAAATATGAGCTGCTTGGAGATTATGACAAAGCAGGTAGGAAACTTATGAATGATAGCTTGTCTAAAATAAAATAATTTACTATAGACCTTTGAAATAAAAAGGCAAAATGGCGACCTTGAAATTTTTTTATGTTCTTTCTAATTGGCTAATGATAAAATGTTTTACTCTGAAACAACCCTCTATGATAATTGATTTTTTTTTTGTGCTGAGGTGGTAAAACAAGATACTTAATGGTGATAATGAGAAAGATTATAACTGAGCTGCATTTACTCCCCTTATTCCCCCCCACCCCCCCGACATTACATTTCAAACTATTCTCATTAAGCAGAAAATTAGACTTCAGAAGCCTATTGGTCCTCATTAGCATTCACTGATCCTTGGCTGGGTCTGTGTCCTAACATCTTTTAATTAGCACACTGCAAATCTAATCAGTGTAATAAACGCTATTAATCTTCCTTTTCACTTATTTTCTCCCAGCACATCATTTTGCCTTCCTGTGGGCCTCTGTGGGAAACACGATTCCAGCTACATTCTGGGCCATGTATTATCTGCTGCGGCACCCAGAAGCTCTCGCAGCGGTGCGTGACGAGATTGACCATTTGCTGCAGTCAACAGGTCAGAAGAGAGGGCCCACGTATAACATCCACCTCACCAGAGAACAATTGGACAACCTGGTCTACCTGGGTAATTTATTTTTATCTGTTAGCAAGAGAAGAGGGTCTCTCCCTGCGAACTGGGTTTATCACTCATTTCTGTTTACTGAGAAGGTGGAGGACACAGCTGCCTAATTGACATAATAACACCCATTTACATCAATTATAAATTATGTAGTTTATAGCTGTAGATACTCTCATTGCATGTAAACATTAAAGCCTAGGTAATTAACTATGCAAGGTATGCAAAAGGCTAAATCGAAGCTTTGCAATTATTTGAAAAAAGTTGATGCCTATTAAGTTGCTTGATTCTGAGCATCTGCCGAAGTGTTAATGCATTTCAAATACTTCAGCATGGTACTGCCAAGAAAGACCCTTTTCTGAAATTAAAGTAGGGTAATGCATTTAAACTGCAAATGTAATTTTTTCACAAGCGGTTTCTTTCTTTTTCTCTTCCTAACGTGATAAAAAGAGTTCTAAAGCAGGCTTCAGCATAGCTATGCCTCTGAACTAAAGAGAAGAACTAAAGCTTTCCAGATGAGAAATGGCATTTTGAGTACTGAAAGCAGTACCTTGATTCAAAACAGAGAGGGAGATCCAGGTCTCCCAGTTGTAGACCAATGGCTCACAGAAGGACTCTGGCCAGTCACATTGGGAAGTTGTATTCTGGGGTTGGATGAGCCTTCAGGGCCCAGTGGTTTCACTTCACTTCCTACTGCACAGACACTGGTCAGATGAATGATGAAATTAGCCTGGGGGAGGAGAGAGGAAAGTATTCATAGGTGTGTGTAGCAGGGAGCAGCCTAGCTTCAAAGCATCTGAAAATCCTCGTAGGTAGTGCTATCAGAATAGACAGAAGCTCTATTAAGGCATAAAGGGTGAATATCCCGTTTGTTTGAGATGCTGACAGCAATCCCCCGATAAAGCTGAGCATAGCTCTGTGTGTTTCAGTTGCTCCTGTCCTGACCTGGTGGTCTGCTCTAAAATGAAGCTGTTATGAGATGGGGTAGTAAAGCAGTGTGGGATCAGTGCACCTGGTGAGCATTTACATAAAGGATTCCACTTTCCAGTATGGCATATACTGAGAGCCTGTGGTTCAATCTGAATTGTCTCTCATGGCACAAATTTAAAATTGAGTTTGATTCAGCTACTTCTTATTAAAGCATTGTTGTTAACCAAATACAGTGTGGCTCTAGTAAGTTGGTTTCATCTGGAGTTACAGCTCTTTTGATGCAGATTTATCTGTAGTTGATGGAGAAGGCTTTTGATGATGGGAAGATATCCAATAACAAGAGTAACGTGACATTCTAAGCAATTCATGTAACTTAGGAACACAACAGACAAAATTTATTTTTTAATTGGAGACAAGAGGTGAAATTGGTAAGGGAAAAACAAAAGTACCCCAGAAGTGCAGGAATAAGAAAAATAAAAGCACAGAACGCACTAGAATCACCTGGTGAAAAATGGGATAAACGGTTTCCGACACTGACCATGTCATCCTCTTGCTGCTCCTTGAAACTGTCAAATGTCTCAGGATCATTGATACACTTGTTAAGAGGAAAATGCTGCATCTTACTTCATAGTATTCCGTAGTATTCAAGTTACACTTTTGTTAAATTTTATAATGGTGTTAAACATAATATGATATGTAAGAAATGATTTCAATTCTTCTGGCACTTAAGTCGTAAAGGGCTGGATACTGTCCCATAAAATAATAATATAGAAAAAAAACTGTACCATAAGAGAATTAAATTCATGCTTCAGTGGAAAGGAGAAAGGGATGGTTTTTTAGTAAATGTGTAGAAGGAACAAAGGTTCAAATTTTCATTGCTCGTGCAGCAGGAATTCCCCATCTCCACTGGCAGCTGTGTGGAGAAAGCCATGAGCCAACCCTGCTCGCACTTAGAGTACCTACAGCTTTCTGGCCGTGGCATATGAGAAGGAGCCTGTCCTCCTCCCTCTCTCCCTGTACTGACCTGCAGCACAGAGAAATGGGAATTTGTGTCCCTGTTCCTGGGTAAGGCAGCCAGGTGGGGTTCTTGTCTATTTATCACCTTGTCATCTCTTTCTCCTGTTTTAAGCACTCTGATTCCCCGTCCTCTTTTTGGCCTGCTGAAACAAGAGCCTTTTTTTGGATTCCTCATGCTATGGAGAGCAAGCAGGAATTGCTAAAAAGCCCTTCTGAGAGGCATTGTTGTTATTGTGGCCACGTTCATTGGGTCTAGGGAATGACATGTCCCAGTTTACTTCCAAATTCAAAACACAGGTATGTGGTTTAAAAAAAAAAAAAAAAGCTTTCAACCCTCTTGTCACACATTGTGGCCCTGATTATTTTCTTTCGATGGCATTTCTGGGGCAGCGCACCTCGTGTTGTCTGCTTAAGACTTTTCCAGCAACCAAAACACGCGTGCTTGTGTGCACAGAGTAACATACATTATTAGTCATTATGACTCACAATGGAGCTCTAATACGGTAAACGATACATGAGAACGGTCTGTCGGTTTTTATGGTTATAAGGGAAATGCACAGGGTAGAGCAGAAATATACTTAGTGCATGTGTAACGCTAGGCATGTTTAGTCAGTTCGTTTGTTCAGTATTAGTCCATTCATTTGTATGGTGAAGTATTCTTGCCCCAGGTCACTGCTGAATCCCGGAGATTTCCTGCAAAGAAAGCACAGCTTGAAAAATCGTTTTGTATAGACAAAAGGACAGGAACCCCAAAAGAGCTAATGCAGAGTGTGTAACTGTAACACGAGCAATAAGCATTAACATCGTTATTTGGGTTAAGGTAAATAAATATCTTTTTCCTGGAGGCAGCTGGGCAGTACCATGTAATTCTTAGGAAGATACAGATGTAGTTGTTTCCAGTTGTCATGTGTGTAGGCACACTGCTGTGCATGTGAGTTAGCGACCCCCCCCCCCCAAATATTTGCATACCCAATTGCTTTTTTCCTATAATGCACTCTAATAATTATAGTACCCTATTACCTGCTGTTAGTGTAAAATTAACAATCCATTATGCACAATAAGTTTTATAAAACATTTACAGATCGAGATCATGTTTAATTAAAATTAACTTGCCTATGAAAGCCAAATGCACTTATGATTCACAGTGACCTTTTATTACCTGCAGTCCCTTGTTTTGGCTGGATGATTGACAGCTTGCTGTTTGGCTACCATGTTGTATTTCAGCTGACAAGACTTTTCATTTTAACTCAATTTGCCTGCCTATCACAAGCTGGTGGCAGGCCAGGCTCAAGTCACCCAGCTTTGCCTCAGCAGCTTGCTCTATTTCTCATTAGTACGCATTTATTCAGTGGAAATTGGAAGACAAATGCTTGAAGGCATGTGAACTAAGTATAGCAAATTAGGGTTTAAAGACTGAATATTTATAAGTATATTGAAACAGTTTAAAAAAAAAAATCTAGAATGAATTGTAGACTGAGTGCTAGCTTTAGTATAAGAGGAATGAAGAGAGAAGTGGGAGGATTCTAAGAATAACAATACTATGAGATATTTCTCTCTCTCTCTCTCTCTAGAAAATATGTTAAATCTCTCTGACAACACCTTATCAAACAACAGCCTGGCTTCTTTATGTAGTGAGTGTACAGCAAAGTTTAGCATCTCGTGTGTGTAAGAAGGGGAAAAAAATGAGGGTCATGCTCATTTGCTGCTTGGTTATCCCTTGGTATGCTTTAAATTGCCTTGTTTGTTCGGCACAAGCACAGAAACAGATGTTGCTCTACCACGCTGGATAATTTACTGTACCTCATGGTGCAGAATGGAAGGCCTCCCAAGCTACCCAGCTGGTCTGTCAGCGGCGATGGCTGGTGTCTGCTCAACTATGACAACTGCAAGCAAAGGCTGCAGCTTTATTGTGCAGTTGTCATTCCTCCCAACGTATAGCCCCGGCATTTGGGGAAAGCTGACTGTCTCTTTTTTTAATGTTTGCCTGCAAACCAGTATAAGCTTCCATCCTCCTTTGTTGATCATAATGTGACTCATTACTTTTGTCATCTAATGATTATCGGCATGATCGCTCAGAGCTAGAGCCAAGCTCGCCTTCTACACATAACTGGTACTGGAAGGTAAAACAGATTTGTCATTTACGATCTGACCGCTAAGCCACACTTTGTGCTCCATTATTGTGATTAACTTCTGCATAAGATATGCTGCCCGATTGTCATCTGCGATCCGGCGGTGGGCACCGACTGCTGCGCTCTGCGAGAGGACGGCCCCCGATAGGATGTGACTGCAGCGCTGGTCAAGTTAAACACAGACCCGGTATTTCGCAGCAGCGCTGCAATAATTATTTTTCCTTTTTTGCTCTCCCCACCCCCCCCGACCCCGTTTGATTTCCTGGGTGAATGGTGCTGCCACATGCGTCACCGCCGTTTCCAAAACTGTGGCGTTCCGAGCTGTGCGTTTTGAAGGTTGAGGGCAGTCTGGGAGTGGAGGCTGGACCCTTCCTTTGTACCATGCAAAGTTTTGTTGCCAGAGCACTGCCAGTTGAAATCTATCGTGTCAGGTGCCTTGTGGCTATTCGCAGTAGAGGCCATATTCTGGAACCAGGGTTCTTCTCTGGCTTCGTCACCAACAAGCCGATTTGACTCTGCCTGATTATAGTAACGAAGGCAGTCCAAAAGAATATGCACAGACTCACTGTACGTCACATTGAATCACGGCGCTGGCCACACAGAGCTGACCGCAGCCTCATTTCTTTAGACAAATGCATGCTTAAGGAAAAACCTCTTGCAAGAAAGCATCCAGGGCCACTTTATTTGCTATGCATGCTGCACCAGATTTAATTTTTAGTGAAAGAGCATTTGTTATTATTTTTTTCAGCTGCATCTACACTGGGTAGCTACTGTCTCTAATAAGCTAACCTTTCGGGTGCAGCAGTTACAGCGCCTTGGTGAATGCTTAGAGAAGGCTTATTTGATATCCCCAAACATAAAAATGGGCACAAATGGATTGTTATGAGAAAATGAAACCCAATTTTAGGCTGTTTTTCAAGCTGAAGATTAGAAGGAATCCAGTCACATACAACAGCACCCATACACGCTGGTGGAAAAATAGTCAGTTTTGATTACAAAGTGAGAGATGCAGCCTTAGACAGGAGCTACATGCTGATATACATGCTATCAGAATGATTTATGCAAATTATGCATATTATTCCCAAAGGAATTCCTCCTCAAACTGCCAGGATAAATTGCCGGAAATTAGCCATAAAATCTGTCGTGCTAGGAGCAAAAGGTGAAGGCCACTGGGAAAGCAAGGACATTCAGCTTCTGGAGCTTTCCAGGATGTGGTGGTGGAGACAGAAACTGAGCTTCTCCTGTACTGAAAGGGCTGTGTTTTGTTTTCTCTTTGACAATTAAAAGTGTCTTTCTCTCTGAAAACTCCCAGGAAAATAATGAATTGCTTTCATTCACTTTGACCATAAGAGATGCTACCATTTGGCAATGTAGCTCACTGAAAACAAAGCAAATAAATTTAAAAATCCTCAGACTAGCAAGCGAAGTGTTTTTTCTAGCATGTAGTTGTGCCTCTACACCCAACAGCTTCTGAAAGGCAAGCTGAATAGCTCTGCGAATGCTTTCGCTGGTATTTGCTCTCAAGCTCCAAAATGAAAGGAAATGCACAAAGCATTCATGTCTTCTGATTGTGTTGTTTTCAACATGGTGCCTGAATAATGACTTTCCACCCAAAATCCGGAGCTGCCTCCAGCCGACACAGTTTCTCAGAACCATCAGCGAGAATCACATCGCAGTGCTCAGAGCCGCGGCCCCCGCCCTGCGGGACTGTTTAGTACCTTCTCATAGTGTCTGGTTCATGTTTTGTTTTGTTTGTGGCTTGGTTTTTTGTTGTTGTTGTTTTTTTTTCCTCCTTTAGCCTGCCCTACTAAACCTGTCGAAATGCAGCAGCTGCAGCCATGTATAACTTGCAGTCATCTCCCATATTTCTGATGCTTCCCCCCCTCCGCTTTTGTTTAATCACAGAGAGTGCCTTAAACGAGAGTTTACGGATGTGCTCATCTTCCATGAACATTCGCATCAGCCAGGAGGATTTTGTTCTCAAGCTCGAAGGGGATCAGGAAGTCAGTTTGAGGAAAGGAGACTGGATAGCCCTTTACCCTCAGATTTTGCACATGGACCCCGAGGTCTATGAAGATCCTAAGGTAAATGCTCAGCTGGTGCCGCTCTTCCTACTTCAGGCACATTGTGGCAGCCAGGCCTTTTGTGAAGGGTATTTTTGTTGTTTCTTTTTTTTTTTTTCCCTGCTGTTCCTTCTTGTGGAACAAATCTTCTGACTTTCAGATGTATTTTTGAGGGCCCTACAGGTCAAAAGATTCATGGCCTGAAGAGAGAAATATGGTGATGAGACTGACTGCTACTGCTTTCAAAGGAATTGACAATTGCACATTGACTACCATAAACTTTAGGCTAAATGTGGGTTTTGTTTGTCAGTGGATCATTTGATACCCAAGGAGGGCTGAATAATAGAAGGTGGTTTAAATAGCAAATAATGTGGGCCATTTAGCTAAGTGCCCCCAAAGCATCATTGACTCTCTGAAGCCCTATAATAGCAGTGACTTACTTGAGCCTTATGCTTTTTCACCTCTCTTCATAGGGATTCACCCCTTCTCTATCAATTAGTATAGCGTTGTGAACTTGAGACCGTAAAGCTGTTGCTCCACAGCGAAGCTCCGAGGGTAATTGTGTCATCTCCTTGTATTTTTCTCTGACGCTCAAGTTAATGAATATCAAAGACTCGAAATTAATCCACCCTGCCTCAGCCTTAATATGGCTTCAGAAGTTCACCACCTGCATGCAAATTAAATAGTCTGAATCTGCAGTAGGTTATTCCACTCGGTCGCTGTCCGTGATCCAGTGTGCCACGTAGGAAGCGAGGCTGTCCATAATCTGGCCTTTTCAGCTGTAGATATAGGAGCTTTTCCTGAATCACTCCTCATCTCCCTTAACCTAAGAAAGCAGCCTTCTCCCTACCATGCTGATTTCCATGTTTAGGCATGTTCACATGTTTATAGAAACCTCGTATTAGAGATGCTGTTCCCAAAGGCTCTACTTTTGGGGAATTTAAGGGTAAAGATGTGTATGTGGGATTGCAAAGGAAGAATGAGATTCAGATGCCTTGTTGGTGAAGGGCATCATCGTGTTGTACAGGAACCCTGCCAGAGGCGGAGGGGAGTTGTTGTGGTGTGTGTTAGAGTTAGAAGGAGCAGGATGTAGAGACAGGTATGATCACAAGAGCCATGAAAATGGAAATAATATCCAGTAGGACCCTGCTATCTGCTCTCACCCCAAATGAAGGTAAAGACTACTGATAAAATTAGTGATTTTAAAAAATAATCATGTATTGGCAAATAGTTAATTAATGCTTTTATCCTTAAAAAGTCACAGCTAACAAATAAGCTTTTTCTCATTTTATTCTTAACACTTTATTTTGGAGAACATTATTGATTTGTCAAAAGTCCATCTGTTTGTTTAGGTCCTAGACTAAAGCATCAGAGTGGTAGCTGTGCCCCCCTCCCTTATTCAATAATTGTAAGAATACATTACCATATTTCCATTCCTTGAATATATCTGCTTGGTATCAGTTCTGCTCAGCTTTCACAGTACAGCTTTAGTTCATATATTTTATCTTTTTGATAGTGAATGAGCAATCCACACATTGCAGTACTTTGATTTCAGCACATGGGCCCTCTCGAAAAGTGGGGAAATCAGTGTTCTGTTTGGTTCTTAAAATATGCAGTGTGCTTTCAACAATAACTACTGAAGATCAGATAGAAATGGAGAATGAATTTTTTGAAAGGTGCAGTCTTGAGCTTGTCATGTATTTAGGGAAAACTTTCCTGGGAAAACAGGCAGCTTGACGAGATAATTTTGTAGCGATGCTTTTCTCCTGGATACATAAATTTAAGAGCTATCAAGTTATCTTCCGCTTTGGCACCATATTGTATATGTGTAAGCATATATTGTTGACCTCTTTCTCCACTGAAAGTCTAAATAAATGAGTCCATTTTTGTAAAGTGGATAAGTAAACCTGCAAATCACAGCACAGTTAAGAGCTCAGTAAACGGAACTCTGCAAATTCCCTAGAATGAAAGAAAAGGAAACCTTGCAGGAAACCCTACAAGGGGGCTTCCCAAACAAAGCTAAATACAGGACATGACAGAGTGAGACTTATACAAGTCATAGGAGATTCCTGTTTTCCTAATACAGTGAGCAGACCATTCACAAAGAACGTTATCTCCAGTTTCTTCACATCTTCCTCACCACAATTGCCAGTCTCCCTTCCAAGAAGGCTTCGTGCCTGGCTGAAATCCCCTTTGTTGTCAAAAAACTAGCCTTTCTTTAAAAGCAATCTCACTAGCTCTATAAAAATTATCACAGCCTAATGGCCCCAACAACACAAGCGTGATTTTGATATCACACGTTTTCTGCTTTTTCAGTTCCTTGCACAGCACATTATTTTTTGTTAAAATGAACTACAGTTTTCAGGTGGCTCTTAGGATTGTGAGAAAGCTTGCGAGAAAGGCTTGGCCCTGTGTGTGTATGTGTGCAATACATCCATTCCCAATAGTTCCAGACAGCAGGAACTGCTCCTGTGGAAATGCTCCTGTGAAGTGAAGGGCTTTGGGTTTTTCTTTTCAGACAGTTACAGTTCTTATCTGACAGTGCTTTTTAACATCAGTGGGATTTATAATTCAGGAAGAGATTCTTTTTTAAGGAAGAGGGGGTATTCTGGGCTTTCACTTGTTACTGTGCTCCTTCAGATGACGCAGTAATTTAGACACAAAAAAAAAAAAAATGCTTCCTTTCACAAAAACTGAAAAGAAGTACTTCCCAGTGAAAACACACATACAACTGCCTTTAGCCTTCTGGGAGATCCAGGCCCTTGCCATTTAGAGAAAAAGGCTCCTGGTCATCAACATCCAAAGTTGTATTCCCTCCCTTCCCCTTGTCCCTTTCTCATAGGCCACTTCCCCTGCTGCTGTTTTTCTTGTCAGCCAGACCCTCAGTGTGTGGTTTTCAGAGCTGTTAATCTAATGGGTAGATCAGTATCAGTGTGTTTTATCATTGTGTTATTTGGGTTTTTTTAATCAGTTGAGGTGGTTTCTGTCTGACTGACTTGTTCCCAGCCAGCTCCAAATGGCTGCTGCTATAGCAGATGTATGCAAAGCAGGACAAATGCTAATGAGTGACCATAAGCAAGAAGTGTCTGTCATTTTTATTCAAAGCATGCAGGAGGATTTTGTAAGTGGTTAATTTGCCGTTGACTGAGTGAGGGTGCCAGATCTCCTTCATTCAAAAACATGAATTATCTCTAAACAGTGATCCTGCTGCTGGAAAATAGTCAGAAAGATGTTCAGTTTATGGAGTGCAAGTTACAAACTCAACCTCAAACCTCACTTGAAAGCACATTCTTTTTAATGGTCAGTCACTGGCAGTTCCAACTTTGCTCACTGATTCTGGAGCAAGCCATGTGAAGGTCAGATGTGGCAAATTAAGCAGCAACGATCTCCACCCGAGGGGTAAAACTGGCTGTAAAGTATTGGGCCTGCTTTTTGAATAATGTGCATCACTGGGTGCAAAAAAAAATAAAGGATTTTGCTTTACCTTTCAAGGACAGGATCAGTATCAGTGCAGTGCATTAATTTATTCATAAGCATTTGTGGATTATCCTTATTCATGATGTATGTACCACACCAAGTACATATGATGCTTTACAAGAAATTGTCCTTCCACTAAGGTTCATTATCCCTGCTACAAAGCAGTCAAAATCTAATTGCAATCAATACAGGCCAGACACTGTAGTGAATGAGACATGGGAGCTGAAGGAGCTTGATGTAAAAAGGCTGAGCTAAGTAAGTGGATTTAAGTAGTTTTCTTTGCAGGGAAGAAAAAGGGAGTTAATGAAACTTCAGGGAACCAGCTGAAAAGGAAAAGCTGTCAGCTCCTTGTCTTCTGCTTTATCTTATTTTTGGGGTTTAAGAAGCATCGCAGTCATGCAAACAAAGCTACTCATGCAACTGTTTTGTTAGATATCTCTCACTCACTCTTTCTCTTTAATTTTCAGGAGTACAAGTTTGATCGCTACATAGAGAATGGCAAAAAGAAAACTACATTCTATAAGGCAGGAAGAAAACTGAAGTATTTCCTTATGCCCTTTGGCTCTGGGATCAGCATGTGTCCAGGGAGGTTCCTCGCGATGAATGAGATGAAGATGTTTCTTTTCTTACTTTTGGCTCATTTTGATGTAGAACTAGGGGAAAACAAAGCTGTCAGACTTGATAACAGTCGTATGGGCCTTGGTATCCTCCTGCCAGACACTGATATTGCCTTTCGTTACAAGCTGAGGTCCTTAAGAAATTGAACGATTGCCTCTGTGCCTTCTATTAATCTCTGTATCCTCTGTTTCCTCACTCAGCTTTGTATTTTTGGAAGTATTTGCTTTTACCCTCTCTGCTTTCAGCTCCTTCCTTTTTTTCTGAGGAGAAAAGCCCGTGGGCTGGAGGTAGATGACAGACACAGAGACATAAGAGCCTCTATTTGTCCTGCCCGTGTTCTGCTGAGGTGAGATGACAAGAACTTGGCTGAGTAAACCATCCCAATATGAAGGATCCCCATACTCTTGGCCATGAGTTCAGTAGGGTTTGGGGGAAGATGATGGCAAGCTGAATCCAGGCCATCACATTGGAAATAGGCTCAGTAGCCACATATAGGGAAATATTCTTCAGAAACTTGACAGTCCAGATGCATTGCAGGCCTACTGACAGAGCCAAAAGACCTCCTACCATCACTGTGCCATGATGTTCTCCCTTGTTGGATTGAGAAGTCACCAACCATCAGGAAGCATGACATCGTCTGCTAGTAGAAAAATAATAGTGTGAATGGGGGGTCTTAATTCTAGAGGGTGAAGGGATTTTTTAGAGATCATTATTCTTTGTGTTTACTCTGTTCCCTTTTATGGGTGTCTTAGTCCTTATCTGGGAGATGTAATGGAAGCTATATGGAATGGGGGTGATTTGCAAAATTTGTGATGTTTCCTGCAGCCAATTGAAGTCACAGGGGAGATTCTGTTGATTTTAATAGGTTTTGGATCAAGCTGAAATTACCTGTTTGGGTTTTTGAGCCAAAAAATGTATACTCTTCAGAGAGAAAATTTATGAGCTTATTTGAAATGATTCCATCATCTCAAAAATTACCTTATGTCTGTCTTACCATTTTACTAGTAGCATATCTGTGTGTTTAGTTTGACAATTTACTGTGTTTGTTAGTTTCTCCAAAAAGGCAAAAGAATGAGAGGGCTTCAAGGATAAGTGTAGTGTCTAAAACTGCTTTTTAATAGTATTTTAATGTGCCTAAACTGTGCATAAGCAGACTAGTGTGACCTCTGTTTGGAAACAGAATTATCTCTCTGCAAGATGGAAAACAGGCTCTTCTTTGGGCCCAAAATCTGAGCAAGTAAAAACACCAGGCAGCCACAGTAGTTGACTGCAGGTGGGCTGCACAACCTGCTCCACTGGGTGATCCTGTTTCAAACATTAATTTATTTTGCTGTGCAGTTTGCAAAATGTAAGATTTTAGACCCTGTCTCTCTCTAGTGAGATCCTCTCTCACTTTGGAGATGGAGGCTGTCCAGTCTCAATTTGCCGTGAGCATAACTGTTAGGGGAGACCAGCCATGTTTGTTGGCCTTGCTTTGTGTTCCCAAAAAATTCTGTTTGAGATACACCAGCCAAAGTTCTGCCCACATTGCCAGCTGGTGAGTAACAGTGCTCTACATGATGCTCCCAAATGTCCCGTCATCAAACATAGAAGTCAGAGTGAAAGAAAGATGTATAATTGCTGCAAGTGCAGGTTAGCCTGTGCAGTAAAGCCTAAATCTATTCTGTGCCAGAATTTGCAACTTGCTGAGTCACTAAACAACCACAGAACTATTACCCTTGTCTGGACACTGTCGGATGAACTACCAGCTCATCTGGAGTTGGAGTCTCCAAATGCGTTATTAGTCAGTGCAAAGCAAATCATTAAAAATATTTTTCTCATTGTCTGCATTCCTGTGTTTCAGAGTGTCCTGCTCTGACAGAGTTAGTGATGCTCAAAAAAAATTACCTGGCACTCTACTTCAAACAAGAGACACAAAGTTCTGCAAACTTCAGCTGGATTTGTCTTTTCCCAGTAGAGCATCGGAGCCACTGGTTCATTTTGAGAATTTTCAGCTGAAATCTTTTGTGCCTCAATCTTGCATGTCTTCCAAAATCAGAAATTTTACTTGTCTCGTAAGCACTTGGTAGCCTATAGATGAAAACTGCTATTTGCTTGCTAAAGTTTAGAATTATTTGTTGTTACTCATGTAGAAGACTGTTTAGTTATTCATGTAAAGCACCTATCCTAAATAAACATCAATTGAAAGGCTTTCAAACATTGGCACAGCCACATTCCAAATCCTCTGAGTAGGAAATCATGCTTTTGTGAGATGGATATTTTCTCTTCATATGTAATATCAATAATGCCTACAGTGTTGGTGTACAGTTACATTAAATGGGCTTTGCGGTTGATTAAATGCCTTAACTTTGCTTCAACATTTAATCAACACCAGAAGCTGATTATTGCTTCTTGTCACAGAATAAAATTTGTTTTTATGGAGAGATTCTTGCATTCAAGTTACTTACTGCTGTACTTACTCGGTAGGAGTTACTCTGAGTTATTTTGTACTCAGCCATAGCTCACAATTCAGTTTGGACATTAGAGCCTATTTTATTGAGAGAGGATACGCTGATATCATTACACTGTTGACAGTATTACATTATTGTTTAAGCTGTAGAATATCTCATACCACAGTTAGGATAAGTCTTTCTTTGGCATCCAACTTTGAAAAAAACGTGAAGCAACTGCAAAAATAACAGTAGATTTTTGTTTTAAACATAAGACTTGTTTTTTTTTTTAATGGCAATCTATTTTTAGGATTTTGAATTAGTATAGCACAGGCTGCAGCGTAATGTAGTGGGACACTTTTGTGCCAGAAGTACATGCAAATCATTAGTAATTTCAGATTAATTGCTAATCAGTTTGTAGAGTATCTGTTTTGGAATTAAAAGGAGATCTAGATTGCTTCTACACCAGCAAATTAAAGTTGTAGGCCTCTCTTTTTCATTTTAAAAAAAAAAAGAAAAAGTAAAGAAACAAGGCGTCAAAGTCCTTCTGGGAGCTGAAGGAAAGCTCTGTGAGAGCACTCAGAAGCTGTGCCTCGGAGTTGGAGACCACACCTCACATCACACAGGATGACAGGGCTTTCGTGGTATGAAGTCAGCCTGTTGCACTTTTTGCTCAGGAACCAAAATGACAGAACTTGGAGCAAGGCCTGAAGCTGCATCCCTGATGGATGGCTTTTGCTTGAGAGCAGTGCATCACTGAGGTGGGACCTGCATCCTTTTGCAGGCACGGTAAGGCTCAGTGCTTTAAAGTCAGTGTTAGAGCAGGAGAGAAGAAGCATTAGGCCTGGTCATCCTGCTGTTTCACAGACTCTGCAGCTGAGCAGCGACCCGGTGAGTCAGCAGCCGGCTGACTGGGAGCAGCTTGTTCTCCTTGGAGCAGGGAACAAGGTCCGTGGTGTTGGTAATTCCTGGTTGATAAGCAGCAAAACGGGACAGGCCTGCAGCATCCCTAGGGGCCTGACTGGAGCCAAGATGGCCACAGAGTGCTGCCCAGGGAAGAAGATCAGCTTTGTGTGTTTGGCCATAGCATCCAGGAGGTACTCAGGCACTGTGATGGCTAAGCCACTCACATAGAAACCTGCAGTAGCTGTGTTAGCATGTGGTCAGCTGTCAGCCATGGAGGGCTGGCCTCACTGCTGATCATTGGGACAGCTAGAGAACACTGCAGGGCCAGGGCAGCCTCCACTCTGCCTTGGGTGACATGGGGAGCCCGCTAGGTGTTACAAGTGACTGTGCTGGGCTGTACTGGCCTAGTTACAGGCTATCACTGCACAGTTATATTGATACTGTCATCTACTGTTAAGGGAGAAAAAAAACTCTTCTGATATAAAATAGGTTTATTAAATCAGGATGTCTCATCTGTAGCACCTGAGCAGGAAAGTGAATTCATCATTAGTAATGTGAATGCTGAAATGTGATTTTTTTTTACCACTGTTCTTTTAATTTACACTTTGTTCTGCACTGTCGTGCGCTGTTGCTGTGACCCACCACCAACTCACTAACCCACTCTGTGTCTCAAAGAATCATGCTGCTGTATGTGCACCTCTTTGCAAATTTGACTTCCACATCTCTGCTGAAACATTGCCATGTAATAATCTAAAACCATGTCAGAATGTAAGAGCTGTTTAGAACGTTGTGCACGTCACTGGTTTTTGGCGTTGCACTTCTTTTATTATTATTACTTTTTTTTTTTTTTTGAGTGATTGCTGATCTGTAAATTTCTCTTGTAGTATTATAAATGATCTTTTATGTCATCGTTATTGAAGCTTCTGTAGTTCAGAAGATTGTGAATTACTCTTAATTGCAAAAACTGACATTTTGTATATAGATAGACAGTGGTTAGGCTTCACTTTAATAGTTAATATCCATCATTATAGCCCTTAGGTTGAATAAGATACACTGTGAATTTCTAAGCAAGCAAATTGAAACTTCATTATTTTAGTTATCTAACATCTGAAGTGATTTTTGTATTTCAAGGACATATAAAAATATATCTATTTTAATATTGAATGAGCATCTGTGTTGATTTTTTTCCACCTTGCATTTGCACTTTTCTCACAGATACACAACTATTGCTTTCATTTTAAAACACAGCACACAGCACTTTTGTGCTGCTTGATCTTGAAAAATATTTCTGTAAGGAAAACAAAAAAAGCCTTTAATTCAGTACTGGCATGGAGCATCTTCTTAGAATTTAGGAAATGATCGCCTCTTCTTTACACCCCATCAAATTGAAGCAGTTTCCTATCAGGTGGAATGTGGGACCTCGGACATTCCTAGGGCATTATCCTGAATCAGAATAGAGATATGCATTCCCAGTATAAAGATTACTTCTTAAATACAGCTCCTAGTCCTTTCCTTTTGCCAAATCTCTGTGCAGTAGATGTACTACCTGCTGTTAAATACTCTGCACTCTTAGATCATTCACTTCAGAAGGAGAAATGATCAAAAATTGTTTCAGTGTACTGCACTGCACCAGCAAAGCACAACTTGGCTTTTCTAAGCAGCACTGTCGCTATGAATTCTGCCAGTAGCTATTTCACAGCCTAAAGAGATCTCTTTTCTTCATTCCATCATGCAGAAATGCATGTGAGGTGTATCTGTGAGGACTGCTGGAGATACGCTGCACAGAAGAGGGACATGCAGCATTTTTCTGCATTTTCTACATGGTTCTGTAACTTTTTAATTCCACTGCCTCCAGATTATTTCAAAAGCTCAGAAATAAAAAGTGATGTTGTTTTAGGTATCCTGAAGGCCACTCTTCTGCGTGAGCTTTTCTTTGTGGTATGAAAGGCAGATTTGGGGGGGGGGAGGAGAGAGGATTGTAGTAGTTCCTGGTACTGTATTATGTCTAATATTTGCTTGGACACCAGGTGCTTTGTTGATGTTACTTACATCGCATTTTATTTTAAAATCGAGACATCAATTTATGCATGACACATGCTTAATACATATGAATGGAGCTATTTCAACTGTCAGACCATAGCAAGTGAAGTCTTTTCCTGCCCATTACCTGAACATGTGCCTGTACCACGGCCAGCCGTGTCCAAATGCCTGCAGCACACCAAGAAACTGGTCTAATTACAAAAGAACCACTTAAAGCTACACCTGTGCACTGATGCTGAATGGCTGTATTCATAAATGTTAGTAAGTATGAGTAAGCAGTTGCTGCATACAAAGAAGCAAATATGCAAATCTTTAAAATATGATTTTTTTCACGTGGAAGCGAAGTACTAAAACATAGTGGAATCTTGATCCTCGTACAACACAGTGCTGCATCTGTGATGTGCAGCAGGTTTCCCTGGGACCTCAAGTACTGAGGTTGTGGTTGCACACCTTCTGTAATAGCATCAGTGTGCATATCTTCCCAACTATTTGCACCTCAAAAGCAGCCTGTCTCTGCCATGAGCATTGCAGTAGTCTGTCTTGCCGTATTTTGTTACGCTACTTGTATTATTATTATTTGTTTTGCCCTTTAAACAACACTTGTTATCACAAGAAAGTTGTCCGCAAGTCTGGGATCTGGCAACAAAGGGAACAGTAAGGAAATGCCCCGTGGTGACTTTTGCCGATGAACTTCTGCATCAGCTCCTCTTCTCCCCTACCCCCGTCTTCCCAAGAGTTCAGCCGCCAGCCTCCCGCAGGCACATTCCCACGCTGCCAGCCAGTGAACCGCCCGGCTGCGGAGCGCGTCTTCCATCGCCTCCCATGGAGGAACTCTTCCCGGCAGAGACTTCAGAAGCCGCCGTGGACTTCCGAAGCCGCTTCGGACGCTCAGTGCAGCGCCCTTCCCGCTGCCCCGGCTCCGCACCCCGGGGCTGAGCCCGTCCCACCTCAGCCGTGGGTGCCGTGCTGCCCGCTCTCCGATTCCCTGTTCTCGGCGCTCTCCGCTCCCCAGAGCCCCTGAGAATAAGCAGGGAGAGCCGGCCGCCCTTCTTAAAGCAGCCCGGACGGGGACGGGAGCCCGAAGAGGTTTCCTAGTGAGCCCGCTCGGAGCGCTGGGTGAGTTCGGAGCCGGTGGTGAGGAGGTTTACACTGGAAAGGCGATTGTTGGCCCCTAATCCTCAATTACAGGGGTTTAAAAATAGTATTAGAGGGGCAATCTGTTCGGCAACTTCTTGGAAGAAATAATTGTTGATTTAGATAAGCGCTGATCCCCTCAGTGTTTGATGAAGACGTTAATTTATGGCTGTCTGGCAGTTTATGGCTGTCATTAGACGTTCAGCTTTGTCTCTGTTCGAAGTGCGTCTTTCTCTTTATTTTCAAACGGTAAGCAAACGGTTGTGTTGGAGCTAAACCGCATCACTTCCCTACGGCATCTCAAATTATCCACAGATCATAGTTCTTACATGCGCGTATATGAATTTAAAAACACAGCAGTAAAGTGCTCGAAACAGACCATCAATTCACTTCTTTTATGACACGTTTCGGAGTCGGGTTGCGAGGACAAGGGCAGCGGGGGAAGGAATTAACCCCTCCGAGGCTGCGGGACGGCCGCGTCGGGGCAGAGTCCGAACGGCCCCGGGGGGGTGGCGGAGCGCGGGGGAGGGAAGGGGAATGCGAGGACACGGGGCTGATGGGGACGCGGGGACACAGGGATGATGGGACGACGTGCGGCTGCCAGCGGCTCTGAGCTCGGCCCTTTAGCTATGCTGCCCCAAGTTTTATACTGCCCCGGCCGGGAGCGGCTCTGCTGGGAACCTCGGTCCCCTTCTGGCCTAAGGGAACGCAAGCGACGCTGCAGGGAGAGCTGTGGGGTCCCGAGTCATTGAATTCGCACCCCCAACATCCTCTCTTCGGCACAAGAACCCGAGTATTAATTGCCGCGAAGTTTCCGAACACGTGGATAATTTACTTTGACTGCTGCGTTTTAATTAAAAGCAAACTTATTTATGTTTCCGATGTTTATATTGCGTGATTTAATTACGTTTAGA